GTGATTGAAAAATAAAAAAAGGATTTTTAGTCTCTCTCTCTCTCTCACACACACACACACACTCTTTCACTCACACTCATCTTTATTTGCTCAACGACTATGTGATTTGAAAATAAATAAAAATGGTTTTTGGTTTCTGTATTTACGTTCTCTATATCAATTTCTCTCATTCACTCTCTCTACCTATCGTTCTCCCTCAATCTCTCTCATTCTCTTTCTCGGTCGATCTCTCCTTCTCCCTTAATTTCTATCGTTCTCCCTCAGTTTCTCTCCCTCTCCCTCTCTCGTTTTTTTTTTCTTATTTTCTTACACACTTATATGGTATTAATTAGATCGTATAAAAGAGCATGAGACCAACTTGGTATGGTTCAAAAATTATTACACCAAATTGATAAAATTCACAAGAAACTCTTGGCTATGAAAGTTATACCAATTGGAGAATGATAGAGATTGAGGGAGAAGGAGATTTTGACTGAGAGGGAGAGTGAGGGAGAAGAATGAGAAAGATTGAGGGAGAACAATAGAGAGAGAGGTTTTGATTTGGCTACAGACCGAAGCTGAGAGAGTGGGGGAGACAGAGAGAGCGGGGAGATCGAGAGATGACTGTGATAGTGAGAAAGAAGGGAGGGAGATCGAGAGACAAAGGGAGTGGGAGAGAAACTGAAAAGCTATTTTCGTTATAGGTTTTTTGTTGCGTCCAACATGGAATAAGAGTCTCATGTTGGAAACTGCCACATAAGCCTCTAATGACATGGTGGGGGTATTTATAACTTAAAATGTAGAGCCGGTTTTTAGAGTTTGGTTGGTTTTTGGACCAACCTGCAACCTAATTTAAAATGTACAACTGACTTTGACTATAACTTTCCCTTTAAATTATATATTTCATTTACATTATATAGAATATTTTTTACTTATCACACTTAATTTTTGTTTGTCTATGGTATCATTTTACTCAAACCACTAACTCAAAATAAAAAAAATAAAAATTGTTTGATTCTTAGGTTGACATTAAATTTTTTATTACATTTCCATCATTAATAAAATTATTTCTTATGTATAAAACATATTTTTGTTCAATATAATGAATGTACAATATTAGAGATATACTCAATATTTTATTTTTTATACATATATAAAATTAGATATGTGCCCAAAATTTTCTCTTATCTTTTTATTTTTTATTTTTGTGATTCTTTGTGTTTTCTATTATTAAAAATTTTATTATTTGACTATGACATCATTTAATTTCTATGTAGATTTTGAAATTGATTTTCCATTTTCATCTTTAATAAAAACACTTCTTACACTTCACAATTATTTATTTTAAATTTTTATTATTTAATTATGGCATTATTTATTAATTCATTTGACCCCAAATGGTCAAATTGCTTGCCCACCATCGAGAGGGAAGAAAATGGTTTTGTTTTCAAAATATTTATTTTTATACTATTAAAATTAATATTGTGGATTTAATTACAAGAATTTAATGGTGAGAAAAATATGTTTTAAATATAAGATGTAATGAGAGAGAATAGAAAAATATTTTTTATTTCCATTTGGTTTTAAATTTTATATTCCATTTTCATCATTAATGAAAACATTTATTATTTGATACTTATTATTGTTTAATATGCATGTTAAAAATGTTCTCACTTTTTTTAATTTTATTATTTAATCGTGGCAACATGGATTAACTCATTTGACCCAAAATGATTTAATTTCTTACCACCACTTAGATGAAAACACTATTTTTGCTAGGTAGGTTTTAAAGGTATAAGGTTTTATGTTATTGAAATTATTAATTTACTAGGAATGGATTTGATTAATAGAACTTAATGATGAGAAGAAATAAAAATGACTTAGATATATGATTCAATGAACATGAATGCAAGTTAATAACTTAAATGTTGGATTTAATGAGAGGGGATTGAATGCATTGAATATCTTTAAATTAACTATTCTCAACCCATTTAATATCAAGAACCAATTGCCCAATTTGCCCTCATTTTTTTATCATTAAATTTAAATATAGAGGGGGTAAATATTGTCCTTAAAAAATTCCAAAAATATTCTTGAGGCCATTCATACTTTTTAAAATAGTATAGATATAAAATATGTAAATATAGTTACTAATATATTTTTTAAGAATTTATTTAAATTTTTTATCATATTTATACGTATCTTAATTTTTCGTCTATATCCATACGTATCCAACCAATACACCTTACATTTCCAATACTTTGAACCTTAATTAGGTGTAGATAAAATTGTTGTGGGTGTTGAACATTTTTCAGCCCTCGTTCGTACACATCATGAATCATGATCATGTTGTAGAGCTTAATTAGTTAGCAGTGATTAAAACAAAGTTGGATGATGTTCATGACTTTGATGTTACTATAGGTTCTTAACTCTCTTTTGTTGTCTTTGTTTTTCTCTTTTGTGTTTCTTTGTAGACTCTTATTACCCTGTTCTCTTGCTGAAGAAAAAAATGATTAAATCCTACCCTACCAACCCCATGTGAATCACATGTAGTAGTATTATTCCTTTTGATCCTCCCTCTCTCTAAAGAGACCCACGATCAAGTCAGTTCCCTACAATAAATCAAATAAAATCCTTGAGATATGTTAAGACAACGCATTCACACGCTATTAAGTACACATAAATATAATAAATATATAAATAAAAATATCAAATATGAATTTCAGAGGTCTGAGACGGTTAAAAGTTTTAATGAGTTGACATTCATGGTTCATTGACTTCATTCATTGGCAATTTGGCAATGCATGTCAGGCGTCACACCCAAAACAGTTCAACTAATTTTATAAATATGAGCATTGACTCGTGGAAGTTGAGAAAGCTTACATTGAACGGTTCAAGACCCCATGTTGGCGTGGGTGGTCCGTTTAAATCAGCCTTTATATTTCTCTATATGACATTTCAACCTTTAATGCATATTTATAAATATTTAACTATCCATGACTTTTGTGAAATTGACTAATTATATCCCCATATTATGCAAAACGAATTGAAGTATTTCCAAATTTTTCACAATAAAACAAATATCACCCATCCGTTACTTCTTCATTAGAATCGGTTTACATATAACCAAGATTTAAAATTTTGATACGATACATTCCGTATTGTATTATATCAGGAGCTGTCCGAAAATCCTAAAGGGTGTTTTAGACTTTGATTATTTTTAGGGGGTGGGCATATTTAAAAGGGATTATAATAGATAAAGGCAACTTTAGAGCCCTAATATCAATAAAAGTAATACTTTTATAAAATTTAAAAAATAAGTTAAGTTTTTAAAAATAATATCAATTGAGGGCAAATCCATTGTTTATCTTCTTCCTCCTGCAATCTATTCATCACCGCCTCCGCCCACCTCCGGCAATGTTGCCAGAGGCAGAAGCGGAGGTGGGTGGAGATAGGTGGAGGCATTGCCAAAGGCGGCGGACGATGGCGCTGATGAATGGGTTGACAGAGGAATAATATGAACGATGTTTTTGCCCTAAATTGATATTATTTTTAAAAAGTTAACCTATTTTTGATTTTTTTTTTAAATATTACTTTTATTGATATTAGGGCCTAAAAGTTGCACTTATCTGCTATAATCCCTATTTAAAACCGACTCTTTATTTGTATATATGGAATGTATCAATACTTTAAACATGCATGTAATATCACATGGTTATTATAATATTTTAAAAATCCAAAATTGCCATCTCTTTCTTCTTCACCATATCTAACACAAATGGATGTTAGTGTTAAATATCCATTTGCCCTCTCCTTTTGCTCTTTAGGCTGCACTCAAAAATCTTGGCCATGGATTTTAACACTAGTAAAATACATAATTGCCGATACATTACATGGGTTGGGGCAAAAAAAACACATTGGACTGGATGGTCCCTAGGATAAGGTCTGATTAGAGAGCCGGTTTGATCGGATACCCGGTAAGACATTACCCCTTTTGCTTCTTTATGCTGCATTGAAAGGTGCAAATTGCAAGCCAACATCTTATCATAGTGAACCCAATTTTAAGTGATGTTTGGTATTGATGATGATCCCTCTTTGTTGATTATCTAGAAATTGATGATTTTTGAAAAGTCACCAAAAATTGTTGTTTGGTATCATTTATATCATATAAGTCATTTTTTGAAAAATCAGCATAGAATTTGTATAGTACTGATTTTTAATGATCATTAGTTTTGTATTAGAGTTATTATTCAATGCCCTATTAGATGTTATGTCTTAAAAAACAAGAATCAACTAAAAATCAAGAAATCATAAAAAAAGTGATCATGAAAAAGGGTTCATTTAGGGGATGCTTGGGACTGGTGCGTTTCACTGGATGCTTATAGTGATTTGGTTTAATATTATAATACATTTATAACGACAAGAAGTTTTTTCAAATTTCAATGTACCATGTCAGTGGGGGTGATGCAGGATCATTAGGCGATTCAAAAAATAAAAATTTGATGTTTCAAGTAACCCTTCTTTTCCCGAATGCCAAAATCAATTATTACAAAAACATTTTTTTTTAAAAAACAGAGCTATCAAATACTATTTTTTTTACTGATTTCGTTTATTTGCTGATGTGGCATGCATAACACATCAGCAGAAATGGGGAACGATGGTGAAACGCACCGGTCCCAATTGTCCCCTTCAATAATCGATTTTTGGCCGATTTTATAAAAATCACTAAAATCAGCCAACATAGCAGTGATTTTCACGAAATCTTCGGGATTCGATCCCATCCGTGTTGGGTCGAATGTTGGAACTCGGGAGTCGGGACCCAGCAGTGCAGACTGCAGACTGAACCCGTCGCATTACATTTCAGATTCCACCGCCCACAAAAAGGAAAATTCCAGATTCCACCTATCCAGACAGCGAATAAACAACGTGAATCGAGGATAATTTCGACATTGTATTCGAAACAGGGGTATATTCGGTATTTGATTGTCCCAAGTCGGAGTGTTAGACCATTAGTCATCAACCCTTGTCTCATTTCTTCAGAGCTCCGCAAATTTCCAACAACACCACCAAAACCAGCGAACGATAACCCGCTGCTTTTCCTCTCCATCCACGTCGGGAAACCTCTTTCCCGCCCATCGGAATTTCCCGGGATCAGAATCAGCTATACTGGATTCCATTTCATCCAGTAAAGAGGTTTTCTCACCTCATTGAGGATTTCCTTACAGCTTCCATGTCTGTTTCTTATTCCCTTTATTCTTGGTTTTTTTCCCTTTTTGACTTATGCAACAAATCAACGTGCTGACATAATAAATGATATTAAATTATTGAATCGGTCTCTTGATCTTTTTAAAGGTTCTCAGTTGGGTTTACTCATCTAATCTCTCGTTCTTCTCTCCTGGTTCTATATGGGAAGCAATGTCCGAACAGGTATATTCTATGTTTCTAATTGCGTCCAAAATCAGGGTTTCCTTTCGGGATTAGGGTTTTTGTCCGGTTGCTACCTGACTTGGGTTTTGCTCATTGTCGTCCAGTCTCAGTTGGGTTTTGATCGTTCAATTTCAACTAGGTTTTGCTCGTTCATTCTCAATTGAATTTTTCTCGTTCTATGTTAACTTGGTCTTGTTCATTCTATCTCATTTGCGTTTTGTCCATTCAATCACAACTGCCATTTTGCTCATTAAATTAAATATCAATTATGATTATTCAATTTCAATTGAGTTTCCCCCGCCCGATCGCAACTGGGTTTTTTCTCATTCATCCTCTCGATACCTGTCGACGTTTGTTCTTTCTGGTTTTCTGGAGATATGTAGTTTTTTTTTTTGTGAGATTGGTAATTTGAATCTGTCGATTGAAATTAATTTTCTTAAACAAATTAATCTTTGCATGTAACCGATGGCCTAACTTGTGGCGAAACTAGGGCATTATTATCGTCATTGAAAATAAAGAATGTTCACTGTTTTCTTGATGTTTTTGACAACTTTGGTTGCGTTTGGATAACCTTGTTTTTAAGCAACTCTTTGTTTTTCACAGTCTCCAAAACTCAAAAGCAAAAGCTTATTCAAACACAAACAAAGAGTTCTTTGTGCATTTATTGTGATTTATGGTGGTATTTATTGTGAGTTATTGACATTAAATAGCTAAATAAATAACTCAGTCCATGATAATTCTTGAATTCGGTTTGTAGGTGTGATTTATGGTGGAAATTAAGTTTTCTTTTAGGATCTTTTATTGACTGGGAGCAATAGCCTCATTTTCATAGCTCTCTTAAATATATGCTGTTCATTCCAACTGATCTTTCTTCAATTTTCATATATTGCCTGTTCATTAGAGATATGGAGTATGCCTTTTGGTTCTACGTGGAACTAAATCATTTTGTGATTTGATATATATATATATATATATATATATATATATATTTTGCATTGTTTTGGTTTAATTTTAGATTTCTTCCATGTAATTTCTCCATGTTGTCATTGATAACTAACTTTTATCTTTTAATTCAATTTTATAAATATTCGTCTGATTTTGTGCAGCTTTGGAGTTTGATTCTTGAGTGACTTTTTGTTCCCTGATTTTCCTTCTGGATACCATACATTGACCATTTTACCTGGAAATTGACTCTTAATACCTTGGATCCTACAAGTTTTTGAGGAAACAACAGATTGATCAGTTTACAGCACTGAAGGATGATCCAGATAAAGCATACCAATTGGAAACATCAAATCTGGTGAACCCTATATGAGTAACAATGGCTTTGAGTTTAAGGCAGGTCCTCTTACATTTAACTCTTTTTGTAGTGTTATATGGTTATGTTGTAGCTGAGCCTGAAAGCAAATTTACTGGAAGGATAAGGACTGCTCCTCAAAGGGATGTAGAAAATACTGTTATAGATGGCTCTGGTATCCAGATTGCCTCTGATGTCTCCAAGGATAAATATAATGGGTTTGGTGAGAGGAAGGGTGGGAATGGTAGAGTATCCATTTCCACAGTTGCATGGTTTACTCTGGCAATGGCTGCTGCAACTGGGTTAGGTGCTGTTCCGTTCTTCTTTGTAGAGCTTGATCCACAATGGGCTGGAGTATGCAATGGAATGGCTGCCGGGGTGATGTTGGCTGCAAGCTTTGACCTTCTCCAAGAAGGCCAGTCCCATGGCAGTGGGAACTGGGTTGTCTTTGGGATACTAGCGGGTGGCATGTTCATTTGGCTTTGTAAGAAGGTAATGTATACCAACCACTTATAATTTGTTTTTTGACATTCTTCAATGCAAATGTCTTTGTGAAGGTGCCAGTGCTTGCTGGTAAGGTCTCTAGCTTGTTATAGCAGAGGTTTGGGATTGAATCACCCCTTCACCAGGGTTGGGGGGGGTGTCTTGGGGATTTGGGGGAGGGCTACCCATTTGCCTCCCACCCTGCCCCGCCCCAAGAAGAAAAGGTCTTTGCAATATGTTTCTATTCCTTCCATGGATAGATTTCATTTTTAAGTTACATAACATTTTATTTCTATTCCTTTCTAAATGAAACTGTCCAGTTTGTCTTGATTTGTATTTTATAGAAGTGTAAAGGTTTGTCATAACATGGTCATGTCCCATTTCTAAGATAGTTTTGATAGGTAACAAGGTCAAGGAATTTTATTAGAATAGAGTAAATTATCTATACAATAGAACCTTAGGCTCAAGAGATGAGTGGAAACAAAAAAAGGTTGGAAAGCAAAAACAGCAATCAGAGGCTTTCTAATTACAGATTTTCATACACAACCAGCCTGGCAAATCTATCTGGATACAAAGAATTTCTATCAATCCCTTCTCTAGCTATCTAGAGCATCTGCAGACTATGATACCCGGTTAGATATACTGGCATGATCGTGGATAGAAGCAACAGGGACACAGCTCTCCATTTTCTAAACATCTCTGTGCGTTTAGTTTACCATGAACTCTTCATTGGTGAAGATGCAATTTCTACATTTACATGTCAACTTTTTCTTATGAAGAGCATCTTTGTTTTCATGCAGTTTCTTGAACAATATGGGGAAATAAGCATGTTGGATATAAAAGGTGCAGAGGCAAGTAAGGTTGTTCTTGTTATTGGGATAATGACTCTTCATTCTTTTGGAGAAGGCTCTGGGGTTGGTGTCTCTTTTGCTGGATCAAAAGGATTTTCTCAAGGCCTTTTGGTAACGTTGGCTATAGCTGTGCACAACATTCCAGAAGGATTAGCTGTTAGTATGGTTCTTGCATCAAGAGGGGTTTCTCCAAAAAATGCAATGCTATGGAGTGTGATTACATCACTACCCCAGGTAGTGTTTGAGCATTTCTTACTGCATAATTTCTAATAACAGTTTGGTTTATGTTTTTAAGGGTGAAAATTGGTTACCCAAATTGAGAATTTACACTTTCAAATTTTAAGAAATGCTCAACCTGAGCCCAACCAAGTTGTACTCCTATATGTTATCCTTTGAGTGAAAGGCAAATGGTTGAATGGAATAGCAAGTGCTGCATATTGGGCAATATGTTACTTTCTTGCTCAAGCTTCATGAATTTAGGTGGATTGTATCATGCAAATACAGTGTTTGAATCTTCTAATAATGCGTGTTATCATCTGAGTGTATATCTTTCAGCAACATAAATACGTAATATAGTGTTAATGAATGCTTTACCTTCTTTCTCAAAAAAAGTGTTAAGTTGTTAATGAACAAACAAACCTCAGATGATGTTTAATTATGAAGTTTCAGTTTATGCTTGGCAGAAAAAAAATCACCCTTTGTTTCACCTCTATGGTTGTTTGATCTCCCTCAACATGTGTGTTGACATATGTTTTTTCCCTGCAGCCTATTGTAGCTGTGCCATCATTCATATGCGCTGATGCATTTAACAAATTGTTACCTTTTTGTACGGGCTTTGCTGCTGGGTGTATGATTTGGATGGTTATAGCAGAGGTCCTCCCTGATGCTTTTAAGGTAATGCGCCTCCATTTATTTTGTATTTCTATTAACATTAATTTTTTTGATAAACAACAGAGTTGCATTAAAATCTGAAGAAAGAACCCAAAACTGTCAAGGCTAGATAGTAGGGAAATTACAACAACATCTAAGAGCTGATCATGCACATCAAATATAACAATTAGCAGGTTACAATTGGATCCTTGGCCCAGGCATTCCCCAAATACACCCTTGACAATTGACACTAGCTTTGGCTAGACTATCAGCAAGGGCATAAGTTGATCTTGGGACTCACTTGAATGAGTTATTTGGGTTTCTTCCGTAATTTTGGCTTCCCTGACCTAGACCCTGAACTTCCATGATGGCTCTTCCTCAGAATTAAGCCATGAGATAACAACTTTACTTTGCAGTGACTGTCAACAATCACCCCCATCCAATTCTGTAGTGCCAACAATTCAGCCTTCAGTGAGTTGCCAACACCAACTGCTTCAATGAAACTTAACTTGATAGTACAAGATTCATCCCTTACAGCAACACCTACCCCTGATTCACCCAGATTGCCCGGACAGAAGCCAACAAAGTTGAACTTGAGGCTGCCTACTTGGGGTGGATCAATTAATCACTCTCTGTGCTCTTCCATTAAACAGTTATCCAGAGTTTTCCACCCTCTTAAAGAGATCATCCATTTTAATACCTTTGAACTCTTCATAAACTGATACCTAATGGACCACCCTTACCTCGATCAAATCAATCAAATACTCCACCCCCACCTCCTTATTATCAAATATCATTGTGTTTCTTTCCCCTAAATGCTCCATAATATTGCAACCCTTAAACAATGTCATAGCAGTTTCTTTCTCATCCTGCTGAGATGTTGGGTTGAACAGCTCTTTTTTGTTTCATTTTTTTGATCAGTAAACATGTATTTTATTAAAATTCAGATTGTAAACAGTTTATACAACTTGGTGATGGGACTATTGATCGCCCTTAATCACTCTATTCTATCCCTCATTACAGTGCAGCCCTAAATAATTGCCGTCTCAATGCCCCCTGTTTTGCTAAACCGTTAGCTAGCCCATTTGCACTTCTTTGGACCCATTTAAATTCAGCCTCAACCTCCTTTGCAATCTTCTCCACTTCCCTAATCACATGTTTAAACGTCCATGGGGTATGACTGCTGTTTGCTGCCCATGAAATTACTACTTTTGAATCCCCTTCCACTTCAACATGTCTGTATCCTAGCTGTTTGGCTAGCTTTAACCCTTGTAGTAATGCCAATAGTTCAGCCTTCAGTGAGTTTCCGGTGCCAATTGGTCCTGAGAACATACCCAATATCCTCCTTTCTGGATTTCTTAATACTCCTATTCTTGAGATGACCGGATTTCCAAAGGAGCTCCCGTCAAAATTCAGTTTTACTTTATTCCCTTCTGGTGGTTTCCACTCCAGCCTTACTCTATCACTTACTGGTATTACTCAACACTCCCCTCTTCTTTTCTTCATACTCCTGTTCTCCTCCTCATAATTTACTCCACTCTTAAGCTTCTCAATCTCACTCAATTTCCTTTTCCTTTGCTTACTCTTCTTTCTCAGGTAAACCTTCTTTCCTTCCGCCTTTATACCGACCATCCTAGCTCCTTCTAAGCCCTCCTTCCCCTCCTGCCTACCTTCCTCTATTCCCTCCAAGGTTTCGTTCTGGGTTGGCTTTGTTTGGGTAATGGGTTGGTTTAGGCTAGCATAAGCACAATCCAAACCTAAGGTTGGGTCAGCTAGAACTTCCAGGATTAAAGATACAACTCTAGCCCTCTCTTCCTCTACTCTATCAATCACAAGGTTCTTTGGCTCCAAGACTATGGCACTTCGGATTGAGAGTTCCATAGCAGGTGGGGATCTGACAGGACTTGCACAGGTAGCCAAGCATAAGTTAGAAACCTCTTTAGAAGGAAGTAAAGGAATAAAAGACGGAACAAGAGATAAAAGTGTAGGGGTTCCCTGATTCAACAAGTCCAAATTCTTCCTTCGATCAAAACCCACTTAGTGAGAGTCCTTGGCAAGTAATTTGTTTCATTTCTTTTATTATTTTTTGATAAATGAATGAAATTGTTATTAATAGTGAAAAAGTGAGCATACAAACAGCCTAAGAAGAGGCACGAGATGCAACCTCTTTTTTAAGGATGAAAGCATGAAACTCACACTAAACAGAAATCAGTTTACAAAGTTTCCCAGTAAAGAAAACCCTTGAGACCCCTTGTCTAGCAAGAGAATCAGCCGAAACATTTTCTGATCTGCTAACCCACTGAAAATTGGCTGACATGTTTCTTGTAAGCCAGTTAACTCTTCTTACGAGATCCCTATAATTCCATTTAACAGTATTTGGGTTTGCCAACCAACCCACAGCCACTTTGGAATCTCCCTCAATTACCAAATTCTCCACTTCGGGTTGGTTGGCAAGCTGTATTCCTTGTACTGCTGCTAGTATCTCAGCCCTTGTAGAGTCTCCAACTTCCACTGGTCCTGAGTATAAGGAAAGAATGTTGCCTATCCTCATCTCTCAAAACCCCTCCTATGCCCTACAACCTTGGGTTCCCTTGACTACTCCCATCAAAGTTCAATTTCACAGCACCCTCCGGAGGGGGTAGCCACTGCTGCCTAGTTTCTCTTGAGATCATCATGGGAGTAATTATCAAAAAGTGCTGAAGCTTTCAGCCAAAGGTATTTGGCTCTAGCACATTTCCACATTAATTTCCCCCTCTTCATGGGCCAACCAAAGATAGACGGGTCGAAGAGCAAATTCACATCGGATGGCTAGTTCCACCTGCACCCAAACAACAAGAAAATCCAATTTCAAATAGCTGTGTCAAAGGAGCAAGATATGATCAGAGGTAACAGTCCTCACAAAGCATTTTACAAAGAGTGCACCAGTTTGGGGACAAACATATAAAATGTTTCTTTTTTTGCAAGTTGTCCAAAGTATTAATCTTACCATGGTAAACTTCCTAGCAAAAAACCGCTATTTTAGGGGGGATGTGCCTAGACCAAATTTCTTTAACTAGAAACACCCAAGGGGAGGAAGTGGAGCTAAGGGACTTGAAGAAAGAGGCACAAGAGAAGGAGACACTCGGGGTTAAGGTCCAAATTTTTCTATCAGGATTAAGAGGGTCTAAACAAACAGTCACATAGGAGTAACAACTCAGCTGTACAAGCAGACTCCTCTTCCCTCAACCCTCTACGAAAGCCAAAATCCCAGTTTAAGGACAAAGGGAGGACTGGGGAGGACAAGAACCTAGGGGCCGGCTGAAGGGATGAGAGATCCATCGTATGGATGCCCAAAGATTGCGGAATAAGGGGGCGAATTTCAAAAAATTCTCTCCCTTCAAGTGGGAATCACATTCCCTATTTAGAAAATCATATTTTCAAGGATCATTCTTGAACCATAAACTGAACCAGATCTGAACCAAAAGGAGTAAGAGAGGATTATACCTGATACGGAGAAACAGTATCCCCCAACAAAGGTGTTCACACCCAAGGAAGGATCCAAAGACTGCTCCCACTGAAAATGGCGCAATGTAGGATGGAGCAGAATCAACAGTGTTCTTCTCCAAGAACTCTGTCCTTCGCAAGAAACAGCAAGATGGCACGTGAGCACAACTTCCTATCAATTCTTCCTCCAAGAACTGATGTCAAGATCAAATCTTGACTTCTCCCACAACTGGAGATCGAACTAGCAAACAGGGCGACAAGAAAGAATTCTGCAAGGTTGCTTAATTCTTTCTTTTGTGTTTCTCAGCACTAAAGAGGATGTGAATCTGTGTCTAAGGCTGCCGCCCTCTCCTTCTTTTGTTAACCCAAAAGATCAGCTTCTAATCCAATTAGGAGCTGCTTATCCAAATCATATTTGGATCAGCCCTCTCTTTAGGTGA